GTTTACTCCTTTAGGCGTTTTAGGCATATAGGGCTAGACCTATATTTTATAGGCCAATCGGCAGTTGGTGGGTGATGTGGTCAATATCACACTGGTCGCCTTTCCTTCCCTGGACTGAACCCGGTACCCACTTAAGGCTGGGTCGACAACGTAAAAGGTTAAACAATAAATTGTGCAATGTATTGTATATTACTGCACTATTGAATTGTCTTCATCAGCAAGCGCCTTGCCGACTTGAGTGGGCGATCGTGTCTTCCCACAATCTGCGATGTGCTACTGCATCTATCAGTTCGTGTGTTGACACTCCTGCATGTCATGCCAGCAGCGTGTCAAGAGTCTTCTCAAGTTATCTGCCTCTGTTTCTCTCTTTCCACGCACCTTTCCATTGGCCACCGCATGTTCCAATTTCCTTCTTCTTATAACATGATCAAAAAAATGATGACTGTCTCTGATGTTTGTGAAAAGTTGCCCTTTAGCCCTCGCCTCGTTTCAATATACAGATGGAAAACATTATCTCGAAAATCTCTTTAATTTTCTTTTACTTGAACAATGCTATTGTGTATTTTGTATATGGACTTTCTAAAAATTATCTTGGTTTGATAAGAGAACATAGCATCTTGTGCTTCAGCATCATTTCAAAGTAATGAATATTTCGTGTCATGTAGATACACGTCCCATAAATTGTATGATGTCTGTGTACACTAAATTAGGAATTGAAAATTTTGATGGATCTGAATGTCGAGGAAGATTAGATCGTAAACAACATCTTGTCTCAGAAACTGTAATATCGTGGTCGTAGTAGCAACGACTGAAAGAACATTGACGAAAGGAACTGGACGGTTAGTGCAAGAGAGTCAGGGGGTCGACCAGTACGAAGGTGAGCAGAGAACACTTGGACAAATAAGATCCATGGGGGCAGGAGAGCAGGTGGACCCTTTTCCACGCCTTTGGGCGTACTAGGCATATAGGGCTAGAACTATATTTGATAGACCAATCGGTATTTGATGGGTGATGTAGTCAGCATCACGCCGGCCGCCTTTACTTCCTAGGGCTAGACCTTGTAGCTACTCAAATCTGGGTCGCCCTGGGAGCTAAGGTTACTTTTGAAAACGTGCGGCTCCGTCAGGACCCGAACCCACGACCTTCTGATCCGCAGGTGAGCGTATAGCCGCTACACCACGGCGACTCCCTTCGGGATTGAAAGTAGTTTGATTTTCATGTCTGTCAAATGTTAATCCTGCAGAATGTAATGCTGGATGCGAGAGGCGACGAAATAAAATCTCATACGAAACGGTTCGCTGGAACATAGAGGCTTAATATCATGAGGCCCCACCCTCCCTCCTCCTCCCCCTCTCCTCCTTCTCCCCCCTCCGCCAAATTGGCGAAGACACCACTATCATTTTTGTCCCTTCAATAATACTGTAAGGAGGCAAAGCAAAGTCCATTACGCATGTATTAAAATTCTTTTTTAACGCTGTTTGGTTATGCCCTGATAGGTTTTATTGTTTCTTTTTCTCCTATTCAGCGCACCATCGTTATCATTATAATTAATATTATTATTATTCATCTAATGCACGAATAATTACTTTAAGCGCCACTATTTTGCCTAGAATATATGTGTGGGTCGGGGAGGGCTCAGCTCTTTAACTCCTCCCCACCCCCCGAATTTTTTTTTAAATTTTTTTATGTAGGCACATCTTCGCAGGTGCTTCTTAAAAGTCTTGTGCTGAAAGGCAGAATATGATCTAGAGTAAAGAATGAAAAACATAATCTATGCTCAAATTCCATTTACTGAAACAATCCGATATATAACATTTGATTCAGCACTTCGAAAACTACAGACAAGTGTGATATTTGCTTACTAATTAATCTTATATTGTTGAATAATTATTATATTTGTATTATATAGATTATCACCATAATTGTTTCTGAACACGATTTAGAGAAAAGAAAGACAAAAGAATGAAAAACATTATTTTTATTTCTATTTATTTTTTTGTTTTGTTTTTATTGCATTAATTGAAACAATCCGATATAACAATGCATGCAGCACTTCGAAAACTACAGACAAGTATGATGTTTGCTGAATAATTAATATAAAATAATGGCATATATATTTTCCAATTATTAGCCAGCTTTTATATTAAAAAAATATATTCTTGTCTCAAATTAAAGTGTATTATGATCCATCATAATTTAAGAAGTATCGTATTTAGTAGTTATTCAAAAGCTTATCTTATTTTATATACTCAAACGTATACAAAACATGTTTTTGGATAACATTTTAATTATTAACTTATAAAAGCAATAGGGAAACAAAATGTACATACATATATACTTGATTTGCTTTAAATTGTTTATTATTCCCTGTCTCGTGGCTCAGTTGTCATATGTTCTTATCCCCTTAAGAAGTTTTGTTTTTAAACTTATCATGATTATTTTTAGTGGGTATCAGAAAATGATATGGAATGTATACGCGGCCGGTGTTATGTCGACCATATCATTTATTGTAGGCCGATTGGTCTTTTAATATATGGTTTTTTACCATAAATGGTACTGACAGTATCTTTCCCTGTGAGCTGATTGGTCTGTAAATATATGTTTCATTACCATATATGATACTGACCATATCATTCCTTGTGAGTCGATTGGTCTGTAAATATGAGTGTAATCACCATATATGATACTGACTATATCATTACTTGTGAGCCGACTGATCTGTAAATGTGTGTGTTATCACAGTATGTGATACTGACTTTATCATTCCTCGCGAGCTGACTGGTCTGTAAATACACACACACACGCACACACACACACATATATATATATATTAATATATATATATATATATATAAAAATATATATATATATATATATATAATCGCCATATTTGATACTGACCATATCATTCCTTGTGAGCCGATTGGTTTGTAAATGTATAGGCTATCATCAAATATAATACTGAACCATATTGTTTAGTGTGAGCCGATTGGTCTGTAAATATATAGGCTATCACCATATATGATACTGAACCATATCGTTTACTGTGAGCCGATTAGTCTAAAAGCATATCGTTTATTACCATACATGATACTGACCATATCATTCACTGTCAGCCGCCGTTCTACATAGATAAGGGTTAGCTCTATATATGATCTCCTAGGTCGACCCAGCCTTGAGTGGGTACCGGGTGCAGTTCCGGGAAGTAAAGGCGGCTGGCGTGATGCTGACCACATCACCCGTCTTGTGCCGATTGGTCAATAAAAATTTAGGTCTAGCCCTATATGCCCTTTACGCCTAAATGCGTGGAAAGGGTCCTTTACTTTTTCTTCTTTACTATATATGATGTTGACCATATCATTCCTTTTGAGCCGATTGGTTTGTAAATGTATGGGTTATCACCATATGTACTTTATTGTTCTTCTGCGTTCATAAGAATGTGTAATTGAGTTTGTCCGTGTACAGCATGGCTGCGATATTTGAGTTTTTTAGCCAACACATACGACTTATGCGGGCATTTGTTGACCGAGTTAGCCTACCAGGATCACCATCTAGGATACTGACCATATCATTCACTGTTAGCCACTTATCTACAGATATATGGATTATCATCATATATGATATAGACCGTATCAGTTCCTTGGTCTATAAATACATAAGTTATAACAAAATACTGAGTGGGTGTCAGGGTGTGGATCCACAACTTCTCCTTACATTATGAATTAATCAAGTAACAGAAAGTGAATTAATCGGCACTTATAAAAAGAAGTAGAAAGATAGAAGAACACACTGGACAACATAAAAATCGAAAGCTATAGTTACCGTGCCGGGAATTGAACCTGTCACCTCCAGACAGCGTCTGCGCATGAATACAAGTGCACTAAGAACATGGTCAACTAGGCGCCCCCTAAAAAATGTGTCTTATTGGCCATGTCTATCGTACAGCTTGAAATCCACAACTATGGAATACGGTCAGAGTTCATTTCAACCCATTGATATGGTACCATAGGTTACAGAAATTTATATTAACGAAGCATATGTCGAATAACAATCACAGCAACAATTTACAAACACAGTACACCTTATTGCTTTGTCCAGAATACACAAACATTTAAGAAAGGTATTTGATTGGTAGGTTCCGGTGTGTACACGTCATTCCTATAAATAAACAAAGGGGGAACCTTTGACGCTGTTAAATATTATGAATTAATCAAGTAACAGAAAGTGTATTGATCGGCACTCATAGAAATAAGTAGAAAGATAGAAGAACACACTAGAACATGGTCTACTAGGCACCTAGAAGGACGTATACACACCGGAACCTCCTTACATTATGAACGGACAGATATGATTATATTAGGGGCCCCACCACGTTGTAAAACTAGGGCGGAGTGGGGGGGGGGGTGGACATAGAACTCCCACCTTTTCGTATACATTTCATAGACCCAAAAAACTTTTGAGAAAACCTTTAGCCTCCCCTTCACTGCCCAAACAATTTAACAAAACAGTGGCGCCCTTCTCATCATCTTTCATTTTTTCTCGGTAAATCCTTGAGTTCCACACAAGAAAAGTCGGGGGTGGGGGAGGGGGGAGGGGGTTTCAGGGTCGACCCTAAGTAATCATATAAAGGATCTTTAATGCATTCTTTAACAAGGTATGTAGATTATCGTTAAAAGTATTTGATTATTTGTATTATTATTTTCATCATCATCATCATCTTCATTATTAATATTATTATTATTATTATTATTATTATTATTATTATTATTATTATTACCTTGTTCTGAGCGGAAGTAAACCGAAATGTATAAACACTTTAAAGAAAATGTATACACCCAGTTAACTGAGGTTTCTTGGTCTCCTAACAAAATCACTGGTGGATGGGATATTCTTCCCCCCCCCCCGCCCTACCCCCTCCAACCCTGCTTAAAATACGGGGGGTAGGAGGGAGAGCTCAAGAAACGTAAGCCCCCTATTGATTATATCTACCTGCAACTTACCTGTATTTCCAAGGCATGGTAGGCCAGAATGAGCCCCAGTAACACAAGTGTGGAGAGCGAGATAAGAGCTTTCAACGCCAGCGACTGGTAGCATGACTGTGGGGGAGAACAAAATAACAGAACTACTCAATCAATGGCTGATACAACAATAGCAAATTGAACAAAACAGTCACTAGAGTATATGAACAGATTAACTAAAACGACTTTTTCCACGTTTGCCATTGAAATGGCAGTTGTTATTTTTTTAAAGTTAGTTACGTATCCTTCACAGGATGTTGTAGAACCAACGCCAGCATTTTTTGGCTGTTGTGGATTTTCTTTTGCAAATGTTACGTTCAGTAGTTTGCCACTGCTGCCTGAACGATAGGTCAGCTCTCGGTACCAATGTCGAACCAAAGCAAGACAAATTGTCCGCAGCTAGGATCGAACCCAGCACACTGGCATTACGAAGCGCTTTTCGCAACGACTAAGTCACAGACGCCGAAATAGCATTAGGCACGTTATATTGTAGTTTAAAGCTGAGCGGTGATATCTGAGCGCTTTGGCACAACACATCCGATTTCAGCAAACCTTGAATTAGACGTCTGTTAAGACATTTGTGCTCATGAGCAGTGGGTACATTCCTTTTATCCAAAATTGCGCTCCAGAATCTACAAGGGCGAAATGGGGTGTTGAAAAAGGTTGGGGGGGGGGGGGGGGGGAGGTGAACGACATAATTATTTTCTGTTAAATAACAAAGAGATATCTACTTTAAATCGCTGGTCGATGTGAAATAAGGAACTTAAGTTTCTAAATCATTTGTGAATATTTAAAAAAAAAAATTTGATTTACAACAACACATTGCACAACTAAACGACGAAATAAATGGTTGACATAAAAATTAACTAAAGAAACTAGCAAATCACTGGATGACATAAAAACATTAAATATATGACTTTATTGACACGTTTTTCTTAGCTTTTGTTTTGCATTGAGACATAATATATTCGTAATACACTGAGAAATGGCAGATGGCTCCAGAGAAGTTGCCGACAGCATTGATTTCTGTTGGACATTATAGTTTTGTTAACCACTAGTGACTCTGAGGAATCTGCGGTGCTGATGCTGCATTCTCATTTACATTTAAACCCAAGTGACAGAAGTGTGTGTGGTTTGCGTGTTGCACTGGTGGTACTGCCGGTCCTGAAAATGTCTTTGGCTCGACAATATATAATTTGTTTAACCCTTATGTTAAATAAGTATTGAGAGAGCTGTGATTCAAGTACTTTAACACCATATTAGGAAATGTCCCTAACCTACAGGAAAGCTGGTGGTGAGAAAGGGAGAAAAGAGAGAGAGAGAGAGAGAGAGAGAGAGAGAGAGAGAGAGAGAGAGAGAGAGAGAGGGGGGGCAGGGGCGGGCACAACTAAAAGTGCTGCGTCTCTCTCAGTAGATATTAGAATGTATGTATATTAAACCAGCGCCGCATTATTTTTAGACACAATATTGTTTAAAGGTCGGTGTCTGTGGCTTGGGCGTTGCGAACGCGCTTCGAAATGCCAGGGTGCCGGGTTCGATACCTGCTGCGGACGATTTTTCTTGCGCTGGTTTCGACAGTGGTACGGAGAGATGACCGTTCAGTGGCAATGGCAAACTACTGAACGTACAAAATGTGCCTTAGAAAACCACAACAGTCAATAAATGCTGGGGTTGGTTCTGCAACGTCATGTAAAGGATACGCAACTAACATTATTGTTTAAATAATTGGAGGGGAGGTGGGGATAGGGGAATACAACTGCGATACTAGAATTCAATGGTTCTCAGCCTTCCCAATGCCGCGACCCTTTCTTACAGTTCCTTATGTTGTGGCGACTGTTTAATAAGTTACTCATGGTATTGCGACCCTCAAACATACAATTATTTTCTTTACTACTTCATAACCTCAATGACTATGTGCTTTCCTATGGTCTTTGACGACCCCTGTGAAAGGGTCCTTAGACCTAAAAAAGGATCGCGATCCATACGTTGAGAACCACTGTGCTAGAAAGTAATAGTCTTTAGGCGATAAGAGTTTTAGTGATCTAATACATTTGTAACACTGGTATAATGGTACTGATTTCAGCCGCCATAAAAACAGGCTTGCCTTTATTATTGAAGTAACAAAGACCTTATGAGACCACAAAGCAGTTTAAAAATTGCCGATGTATATGTTGTCAAACTAAACAGATTATTCACGTTTACTGACAATGTGGATTTTTAAGAGGATTGTCAAGTATATGGTAGACTCGAAGAAAATGAAAGCTGAGGTATTGAGAAATCTAAGTCGTACATGATTAGTCGTCAAAATCACAAGAAAATAACACAGTAAAAATATTGGATCTGTAAACAGAGTATGTGAGTCATTAGTTTTTTTCAATATAACTGAAAGAAAAAAGCTGGAATCGTTAACTTGAGTGTTACAAATATTATTTCAATACATTCGACTAAAACGAATGAAAACTAATGAGCCAGTCTACCTGCCTGTTTGTTTACTGGCATGACCTTGAGAAAATATCCAAAGAACGCGAGCTACTCAAACTAGTGTTGCCTAATATAGTCATTTTGGAAATTTTAGTTTTAGCTTCATAACAAACAGGTCACACCATAGTTTCTCCGCTCTTGTGCCTAGGAAAAACACCCATAATGTCCATCAGTGTCTCTTGTGAATGATTCACTCAGACTGCATTCTCAGCATATCCGCTAGCACACACACACACACACACACACACACACACACACACATGTTAAAGCATAAGACAGCTATCAGACGTGCTAACACATACCTTCCAACATTAGAAATGTATCTCGTTATCGACAGAAGCAGCTACAGTTACAAACAGATCAGCAGTTGCACACGCGAATAATTTTAATCACATAAGGTATCACCAATTCTGCAACAAAAAGTCACTTGCCATTTTTTAAATCTACAGTTCACAGCACCACGATGGTCATAGTCAAAGACCATTCTTATTAAATTCGCAGCTCACACTGTCACATCAAGCACTCATCTCTAGCCGGGTGACAAAACTATATCATTTCAGTCTACAAATGGAGAAAAATGCTACAGCCACTATCTGAAGAAGCTAACATTTGCCACCACTTAAAACAGCGAACCTGCCTAGTTCACGTTTTTAGCGGAAACCCCTGCCTAAAATGATGACGATGAGGATGCTTTTGCGTATATTATTAGCTGACTCAAGAACTGCTGACATCTGGCAAGGACAAGAACCGAAAAAGGCCCCCCCCCCCCCCCCCCCCCCCCCCCCCCCCCCCCCCCACCCCAAAAAAAAAAAAAAAACCATCTTGACCGCTTAACTACATTAATGGGACGGGAAAAGAGCACTAGCTGGATCCTTTATTATTGTGATAGTGTGAGATATAAACCACGATCGCTTAGTTATCGGCATGGCACATCATACTGATGCGTTGTCGACGTGCTGTTCAAACATTCCACAGGCATCTGTTTCTGTCATCTTCTTCTCTCGTATCTAGCATTTTCCCACATGTGTCTGCCTTCACCAATCCACATGTGTCCAGCCTCTCCATTGCCCACTTGACTAGTTTTTCCAAACCACATTTTAATAGTTTCTCTAATTGACATTTGACTGTTTTCGCTAAACCACATTTGACTAGTTTCTCCAATCCACACTTTCCTAGTTTCTTTAATTCACACCTGTCTTTTTTTTCCCCAATCGACACTTGACTAGTGTCTTCATTCAATATTTGATTAGTTTCTCAAATTCACATTTGTCTAGTATCTCCAATCAATATTCTACTAGTTTCTCTAATCCACATCTGCCTAGTTTCTCCAATCCATACTTGATTAGTTTTTCCAATCCACATCTGTCTCTTGCTTCTCTTGACGAGTTTCCCCAATCCACGTTTGACTAGCTTCTCACATCGACAGTTAATATTGATATTCTCCCTACACGCTTTACCACCCATCGCTTTGCCACACTGAAGCATGCTGGTCACGAATGTAATCTCCTGTGGCAGCTGCATCTGTGTCTTGTCGTTTTTCTCGCTGTTGTTCATCAGTCAGTGATTGTTTCCGACTTGTCAAGGCCGTCTTGTGCCTTCAGGACGTGCGGTACTTCGCTTTCCCAGCAGATGTTTCCATATGCTCTTTATCGACAAGGGGCCGCCGTGCTGTAACGGTTAGACACTCGCCTGGATCGGAAGGTCGTTATTTTGGGTCCTAACGAAACCGGACTTTTAAAAAGAAAATATTATATTATGCCAGGTCGACTCAGTCTTAAATGGGTGGGATAAAATATCTGGGAAGTAAAGGCGACCGGCATAATGTTGACCACATTATCCACCAAGTACTGATCTATCTATAAAATATAGGTTTAGCCCTATATGCCCAATATGTCTGAAGTCGACACAAGATGGGTAATGTGTTCACCATCACCCCGGCTTCCTTTACGTTCCGGGTCTGTACCCGGTACCCAATTATGGTTGGGTCAACCTGGGAGCCAAAATCATTTATGAAAAAAAGTCCGGCTCTGCCAAAGAACGAACCCACAACCTTCCCATTCGCAGGCAAGCGTCTAGCCGCTCCGCCAAGGCGACTCCCGAAAAGCAAATGTATATAGTTAAATCCGCCCCAGAGTGGACTACTGGTTACGGTTAAACCAACTGTTTTTTTTTTTTTTTTGCAATCAGTCAGGTCTCCAGGATTTGTACCCGTTTGATTCTCGTACTTGAGGCGTCAATCCCGAAAGACAAAACGCCTGCTCTGTACCGTTATATGCATAGGCAGAAAAACAATTTGACCACCCACTGGGACATTTTTGCAGACCAAACTGGGTCATGACCCACAGGTTGAAGAACACTGCCATAGATAGTACACAATTGTTTTAGTCTCTCCCTCTCTCTCTCTCTCCCTCTCCCTCCCTCTCTCTCTCTCTCTCTCTCTCTCTCTCTCTCTCTCTCTCTCTCTCTCTCTCTCTGCCTTCTTCGGTCTAACAGGTTTCAGCTGGGGCAATACCACCTTCTGTTGACGATCAAAGTGATAAAATCGTTACGTCCAAATGTATGTATGCTCATCTCTCGGTCTAAATGACTAGATAGAT